GAAACTTACCAGGGCGTTAAACGTGCGTAATTGCTTGACGGTGGTCGGTTCTGTGTAATCCAGAATGGCCGCCACTTTGGTTCTAAGGGGTCGAATGTCTTGAGCATCGATAGTGTGTCCCGGAAAGTCTAATGAGTCGGTCCCAATTTGGCATTTCTGAACGTTTACAGTTATGCCATGTTTTTGTAGTCGTTCGAAAACAAGATCCAGATGCTTGAGATGTGATTCTCTGTCTGAACTTGCGATTAGGCAGTCGTCAGCATACGCATGTACGAAGTTGGGACCTTGAAAAACGTCGTCTATGAATCTTTGGAATGTTTGAGCCGCGTTTCTTAAACCGAAAGGCATTCGCAAAAATTCATAGAGTCCGAAGGAAGTTTGGATGGCTGTTTTCGGTATGTCGTCTGTGGCCATAGGTATTTGGTTATACGCTTTAACCAAGTCGATTTTCGAAAAGACAGTTGTACCTTTCAAGGTAGCTGTCAAATCGTGAATTTGAGGTGACGGGTAACGATCGGGAATGGTTTTTGCATTCAGTCGCCGATAGTCACCAGTTGGACGCCAATCGTTGCTGTCCTTTTTAGGGACCATGTGCAACGAAGATGCATAAGGGCTACTTGACGGTCGTATGATTCCTAAGTCTATCATATGGTCGAAATCGTTTTTTTCTGACCTTAGATTTCCAGGAGCTAGTTGTTGTGCTTTAGAGAATACAGGTGGTCCTGTAGTCGTGATGTGATGTGTAACGTTGCTGGTTACACACGGTAGTTTCAGTTGAGTTTGTTGTATCTCAAAGTAATTGTCGAGTAGTGGTTGATAGAGTGGGTCTATCATATGCTTAATTGTGACTGGGGATAATCTGCAACCAGAAAAGGAAGTTACTCAAAGGGACAAATTAGTGTTTCCGTCTACTAGCCTCCGCTTGCGCGTGTAGATGATCAGATTATGGTGTTGTAGAAGATCCATACCAATGATTCGCATAGAAACATCTGCAATAACGAAGATCCAGTGAATAGGTTTGTGTAAACCCAAGTTAAGGTAAACGTACCTTTTGCCATACGTTGCGATCGGTTTTCCGATTGCCGCCTGTACGTTTAGAGCCGATCGTTGGGATTCGCTGGGAGAACGCTAACTTCTGCGCCAGTGTCGACGGGGTAGCGAACTCTTGTTGTCACATCTGTGACGTATAACAGGCGGCAATGTTCGCCGGCTACGGTTGCCGTTAACGCGTGCCGGCTTGGAAGTTTCCCTAGTCAGTCGGTTGGGAGTTGGGAAAATTGCAAGGTTTTCTGCAATGACGTTTAAGTGTATTACATAACTCGGTTATGTCGTTCTGGGTCGTTTGAGGCTTTTCTTTGACTGAAAAAGCCTCGGTAGTAGAAAATTTCGTAATTTCTAAAATGCGGTCGGCAGATGAAGTCAGTTCGTCTAAGGCGTTGTTTTGAAACGAGACAAGCACAGCTTGCACCTGTTGAGGAAGTTTAGACAAGAAAAGCTGTTTAAACAGGCCTTCGTCGAAGTTCTTAGGCCTATAACCTCTCTCATCCTTTGCAACATGTCCATCGCGGAACCGTGTTGTAGGTCGATGTTATTGAGGAGTTCGTCTAATCTTTGTCGATTGGTTAGGTCTCCGCGTTTAAGAATAGAACGTTTTAGCGTTTCGTAAGGCTCAGAAACATCACTAGTAAACATACAAGGTGTTACACACCTGTTGAATTCGCGCGGTAGTGCCTTGTCTACTGCGAGGAATCGCGCACGCGTGTCGATCACGTCGTGCTCGGAGAAGTCGGCTTCTGCGTAGCAAAACCAGGCTTCGATATTGTCGGGTCAGAAAAGCATACGGTGAAACGAGGGTGGGGACATGGTCTTAATCTTAAATACTTTAGGAGTCTGTTCGTTCATGATGAAATATGAAGTACGGTAATGAACGAGGGGAAAAACATACATATCCAAGAAAAAACACGAAAAAAATCACAACGTATAGAAAGTAAGGCAATAATATATAAAAATCCCAAAAAGGAACAGATTCACAGTTGCAATTAGGTGTACCATATCATGTCGGTCTCACCAATGAAGATGATACAGGTATTCAGTGTTTGGCAACGCTTTTACCAGTAACACCTTTTAATATAATTCGTAACCACCAAGAGAAATCAAAAGACAGAGTCGAGGAGATCGGAAGAGTATATTTGGCGATAACCAATATATCGGAATTCTCTGATCTAATCTGGCTAGCGATTGCAGTAGCAGTTGAGCATGGCGTTACCACACGTGATCTGGTACGGATGCCTTCAGCTAGATGAGTCCACTAAAACATGTGGTCAGCATCCAATGTCGAAAACTTACAGAGCTATTTATTTTGGAGATTTATTTACCGCTACAGTAAGTAGAGCTGCCTGTTTCTAATGAGTTTACTTATTCAAATCACCCTGATTAAAAGTAGGAAAAAATGCTTTTGGTACTGTTGCGATACGGTACTAAGCCCATGTTATGCTTTGCACAAGTCATAGTAGGTGACCTGATCTAGCACTCATGAATCCAAGGTAAATCACAACTGCATAAATTCTTTGCTAAAAAGCATGTAATTTGGTCATTTATCTATTCCACATTCCTGACTGAATTGATTACTATTTTCTCATTTAGAATACAACAGGAGTGAAGCTTCACAGATCCTGAAGACTGTTTACGGGAGACCCAACTAACAGCAGATTGTAAAAGGGATGCTGGACGTCCATCCTAGTCTCACAACCACTCACAGTATTTTCTGAGTTGTTTCTTTTACCCTTTCGTTTGGAAAAGAACAGCAAAGACTGCAGCTTAACATTACCAATGCAACTTTGAAACGGGAACTTGGTTTAAACCTTTGTTTGATATTCCATTTCCAATGAAAGTTCGTGAATAAATTTTTAAATCTGATGCTACTTTGTTTTATCTACGTAATCGTTGCAAGAAACATGTGATACACGAGCCTCTCAGCACCTAGTTCATTTGTGGTAAATCTTAGTGACTTAGTAAATATCTTCGTTATTTTCTTGGGAAACATACAGACTTGGGTGCTCTCATAACTTATTCTAACCATCACGAGTCGTCACAGCAGCTCATGGATGGGCACGCGTTACACATCCTAACCGTACCTGCGTCTAATCTTATAGCTCATTATTCAAATGCCATATGATAAGCAAGCAATGCCCCTGCCCGCACTAATGGAACACTAGTAACTCACAGGCACCCTGTATTGCACCTTAGATAGGTCTACGCACTCGCTTTGCTCTTTAGTGGGCATATTACTACAGTCCTGGTAAAAATCACATGAACCCCTTATCTCCATCAAAACAAATGTCTGTATTTGCTGCATATAGCAATTTTATTTTTCAGAAGATATAACAGTTAGAATTAGAGTAAAATGGAAATATACAGCAGATACACGTGGTGCATGTCTTCACTGATTAACTGAAATAGAGAATACGGATATTAGCTTAACAGGCTTATTTAGAAAGACTCGTGTCTAATTTGAACTTACCGCGTGAGAAAGTTATACTGGAACTACGAATGTTGTAGAAATAGAGTTTCTCGGAGCGTACGGAGCACTCAAACTGGAAGACAGTTGTCCAAAATGATTCGAATATGAAGGTGAAAATTTGCAGGTACTTTTCATCGTAAGGGTAAACATATTAGGTACCGGTTGACATCATACCGTAAAAAACAAAAATTTGAGAGTGGTGAAATATGATCTGTAAAAAGTCAGCTTAATAACGGTTAATTGCCTTTTTACTCCGTGATCATGACCCTTCGGCTTCCTTTTATGGCCAAAACAGCAAACATACACTACACACTGGTAGCAGATTTCCGGCTTTTCAATGTTAAGCTTGCTTTAACACACTACGTAATGAGTACAACTCGTCTATTACTGCTATATGGCATATTCTTTATAACAAACCCTCTGCAATAGATTGGTAGCATCTGTGACTTCATCTGTAGTTGTCGGAAGTCTGGGTCCTTACGAAATCAGTACTGATATCCACTACTGCTGGGCACTCAGTATTAGTTTGACTCGTTGGTAGGATAGTGTTGTCCATAATACCGAAGAAGATTAAAAACCGTAGATTGTTTCCCTTCATTTTGCCGTTAATATCATAAAGGACAGTTAGGAACGAACATGCGAACAGTTAGAGTCACAGGCGGCAGCAACAATTATTTTAGCTAAATAAAAACGAACTTCGGCTTTGGATATCTAGAAAACAAGGTTAAATATAACCGATTATCATTTAAAAACATAAGGTTTTGTGTTAGTACTAGCCAGCTTAGTTGAATAAATGCATTGACTTCAGTAGCAGCAGGAAAGACCCAGAAAACAAAACAAAATCAGGAAAACTTTTGCTCCAACGTTTAGAGTATTACATTAACTTCTGCATTTTAGCACACTGAAACATTAAATTACATAGCGTAGTGTCAGTTATTATGGCAAGCCCATATACCTTATTCTAACTTCCGGACATCCTATTTTATTCATTTTACTTGAGCCATATTTTGACCTTGTCAATTATTCGCTTGTCCGTTTTGACTGTTTTTATATGAGCGTATATGTGTGTGCCCTTCTTATCGCATTAATCACATGTCTGTAGCTTTATTCTGTCTGACTATAAATATTGAGTAACGCTTGACAAAGATGGAGTTGGCTTCCCAGCCATCTTCCCTGTGCGTCATTTTGCTTGGCTCTGTTTCATTCACTTCATATACAAAATATATGTATTCACAAATCAATTCTCGTTATTCGACTTATTTAATTCCGTTATTGGATAACGCGATTTAAGTCGACGATGATATACGAGAATAGGCGATAACAAACATCCATACGATCTAAATGGGAGTCGAGAACCACGGGCCCCTAAAATAGCTACACAAAAGAAATAGCTGTAAAAATCACAGAACGAAGAAAGCCGACCGCCATTGCTTACAAAGAAGGCGGACATAATGATTCCCGCTTCATTTTGATTAGTTGTTAAGCTGAAGGGCACATTTACGAATTTGAGTTGCGTTTAATTGCAGCCTGGATGAACTCAAATCAAATCTAAAATGGTCTTGATTTGACCGCTTCTGCAAAACTTGACTAACTATCGAGGTGACGCGCCAATCATTTTACAACAGTTTGACCTTGAAGTGCTCAGCGACCTCCATCAGTGGACGAGACCCCTGAAGCGTTGCCCCTCACATCAATCCTCAAATGGATCTAGCATATCTTGACGGTTAGTTTTCCTAAATCTTCGTTTTAAACTGTTCATGTGAAAAGCATTCTCTGTAAGTTCTCAAGACAAAATAAAGTCAGTATTTGTATCGTTTCGAAAAGGGCAGTGATTTTTGTACTTATTGTGATTATCCTTGCTTGTGTACTTGTTGCATCGTAAAGCATTCTTGGTCTAGCTTAACTATAAGAACTTTGGTTAAGGTTTGAAATTTTTGTTAAACTTTGTCCTGTGGTACCTCTTTCTTAACTCATTGACTGACACTCGTGTCCACATTGTGATCGTATTGTGTTTCAAACCTTTTTAATCAAATTACAACGGTTGGTAAGACTTGGAAATGTGGACAACCAAACTGCCTGTTCCCCGTTAAGGAAGGAATACATTGCAATGAATGTAAAAGATGGTAACATAAGATGTATAAACGTCTAAGTCATACAGCATACAGAAGTTGTTCGAAGCCTAACTCGCATTAGCTTTCTATGTTCTGCTGTACAAGTAAATAGTTACTGCTCCAGAAGGCTATGAGCCTATTGGCTTTGGCCTATAAGAAAAACGATGGGAGTTGCCCTGATAATATGATTACTGAGACTCAGATTTGTGTAGTGAAAGCAGAAGGCCTACGGCCTATGTTATTCCTTTCCTAGTATGCTTCTGGGAGTGTTCAGTCTTCTCTTGAAAGAGTAAATTGAAGGTGCGGACAACACTGCTTCGGGCAGCAGGTTCCAAGCATTGATGACTCGGTGTGAAACCCTGTATGCCACGGGTATTTTGTTCGTTCTAGGCTTTTTTTACTCACCTGCTATGTCCTCTGAGATGTCCCGATCTAGTGGGAAGAAAAAGAGAATAAATTAGGTCCAAAATCATTTCTCAGTATTCTGTACATCAAAATGAGATCTCCCCTTAATCTGCGATAGGACAGAGTAAAGAGGTCCAGCTTTTCAAGCCGCTCTTTGTATGGTAAACCCCGGAGTTCTGGAATTGCACGGGTAGCTGCCCTCTGTATTTTTTCTAGGATATCCGAGTCACCTTTTAAACAGGGGCTTTCAGCCTGAATGCAGTTCTCAAGCTTAGTTCTCACTAAGGATGTGTATACTGTAGTGAACATGGTAGTATCTAACTTAGTAAATGTCCGTTTTAAAGCCCAGAGGGTTCGAAACCCCTTAGCTGAGACTTCCCAGTAATGGGCCGTCGTCTTAAGATCATGACTCACTGTCACCCCTAGATCCTTATGAGACCGGACTACGGGTAATGGCACTTCCCCTATGTTGTACCTATTAACCTTAGAATCCCCAAAATACATGTAGACACGCTTTGCCGCGTTTATAGGCATCAGCCACTCTTTAGACCAGTTTATCATATTATTTAAGTCTGCCTGAAGAGCACATGCGTCTTTGTCTCCAGTTATTACTCGCCAGATTTTTACATCGTCAGCGTGTAATAACATTGGAGACTGTACTATACTTGATCAAAATAATATGAAATCATATGAAATGTAGTTGGCATAATCTGCACTCAAGCAGCCCAAGGGAATATTCTCGTACATAAACTACCGAACAAGGATGCATCATTGGATTCCCAACATAATTAAAGAAGGGTGTGAATCTGAAATGATAGAGGAAGATCAGGAAAAAGCAGAGGCTATGAGTGATTATTTTGGGGCAGTTTTCATTCAGGAACCTCCTCTAGAGAAAGAACCAGACCAAAATAAACAGTTAACTAACCAACTGCTCACAGTGGACTTCAACCAAGAAGATGTGCTTAAGGCTCTGAGCACCTTAAACATGGAAAAGTCAACAGGACCAGATGAACTACATCCCAAAATCTTGAGACATATTTCACAATATATCGCGGCCCCACTGACTGTGATATTCAATATGTCACTTGACCAAAGTGTGTTACCTATGGACTGGAAGGATGCAATCGTCACTTCCATACATAAAACAGGTCCACGACAAGTTCCATCGACTTACAGACCTGTAAGCCTCACCAGTGTTATAGTTAAAATCTTGGAAAGAATAGTCAAACGGACCATAATGGCATTTATAGAAACCAATAACTTGCTAAACGTAGAACATGGTTTTAGGAAGGGTTTATCTTGTACAACGAACCTCCTTATAGCAAGGGAGTTTTGGATAAATGCGCTAAACGACGGAAACTCAGTGGATGTTGTCTACATAGATTTCAGTAAGGCTTTTGACAAGGTGCCAACTAATAGACTGCTATTGAGGTTGGAAAACCTGGATATTTCCGGACCTCTTTTAAAATGGATTAAGGATTTCCTAGTAGGTCGTAGGCAGAAAGTAAGAATAAACTTCAAGTGCTCCATCTGGAGACAAGTGTTAGTGGGGTACCTCAAGGTTCCGTCCTAGGTCCCTTACTTTTTGTAATGTATGTTAATGATCTTTCAAGTATAGTACAGTCTCCAATGTTATTACACGCTGACGATGTAAAAATCTGGCGAGTAATAACTGGAGACAAAGACGCATGTGCTCTTCAGGCAGACTTAAATAATATGATAAACTGGTCTAAAGAGTGGCTGATGCCTATAAACGCGGCAAAGCGTGTCTACATGTATTTTGGGGATTCTAAGGTTAATAGGTACAACATAGGGGAAGTGCCATTACCCGTAGTCCGGTCTCATAAGGATCTAGGGGTGACAGTGAGTCATGATCTTAAGACGACGGCCCATTACTGGGAAGTCTCAGCTAAGGGGTTTCGAACCCTCTGGGCTTTAAAACGGACATTTACTAAGTTAGATACTACCATGTTCACTACAGTATACACATCCTTAGTGAGAACTAAGCTTGAGAACTGCATTCAGGCTGAAAGCCCCTGTTTAAAAGGTGACTCGGATATCCTAGAAAAAATACAGAGGGCAGCTACCCGTGCAATTCCAGAACTCCGGGGTTTACCATACAAAGAGCGGCTTGAAAAGCTGGACCTCTTTACTCTGTCCTATCGCAGATTAAGGGGAGATCTCATTTTGATGTACAGAATACTGAGAAATGATTTTGGACCTAATTTATTCTCTTTTTCTTCCCACTAGATCGGGACATCTCAGAGGACATAGCAGGTGAGTAAAAAAAGCCTAGAACGAACAAAATACCCGTGGCATACAGGGTTTCACACCGAGTCATCAATGCTTGGAACCTGCTGCCCGAAGCAGTGTTGTCCGCACCTTCAATTTACTCTTTCAAGAGAAGACTGAACACTCCCAGAAGCATACTAGGAAAGGAATAACATAGGCCGTAGGTTTCTGTCTTCACTATACAATCTGAATCTTTGCTTCTTCTACATTTTAGTGGTTTTAGATACTGAAGCTTGTGAAATTTTACTATTGCTTCTCTAAGTGAAATCAACGAGAAAATTTTACTAGCATAGATAAATTGTTCACTCAACATTCATGTCAGGTTAGCAACCAGTTTGTATATTTCCGTCTATTCATTAGACTTCGGTGGTCGTGTAAACATTCGTATACGTTACATCAACAATAGAGGATATAAGCTAAGAAAAATGATCAGAACGCCTGTTTAAATCAGGGTAAACAATATCCTTGGCAATTTCACTACAGCATATTGCATAGTCTCTGTTTAATTTCCTTTGGATTATTTACTTTCCATACAGATGTCTTTTTGCGTAAAACCTTTTTAATAGTCTTATTTTTAAACAGACAAGGATGAATGTAATGACATCGCTATTGGTATCGATATTTCAGAGGATTACAGTCAAACAAACAATGTCTCTGGTGATTCACTCATTAAAATGAGAGCACAATGGACTGAAGAATTAAAGCAAGTATGTGAAATTTTACTACCAAAGAATAATAATATGCCTATAAGATGAACGTTTCGTGTTGTGGAATTAGAGCTTCGTTGTTTACTTAGTCCTCAACCATATGGTCACCTATTCAAACTATGCTACTCATGGTTGTTAGAGTGGTTGGCCATAAAATATGTCTTAAGTATGAATATAGGTTCTAGTTAGTCTGTATGGTCCCATGCAATAAATGTTTATCCTGTGGCATGATATCATGAGTTATGTACTCAGACACCAAAAATGTACTCGAGGGTGGTGAATATTTTTTAATACTAAAATTTCTATACGGAATTTGACGGAGTGTGGAGGTATTTAGTCTTCAGTAATAAGGATATTAAGTCGGTGGACCTGTGTTAATCCTTGCAGTTGGTTTTCTAGTTAGAGTCCATCCTCTCGAAAATGTTCACTGATAAAACTGATGCCACTTGTTTGGGTAAGGCATTCAGTCATCGACTACTTAGTGAGAGAAACGGAACCACACTCTAAGTTTATGAGTTCACGGTTTTTGAACCCTTTTTCTGCAGCCTCGGGGATGATTAGTTCTGGGGGGAGGAGTAAAATGATGAAACATATTAACACTCAAGTCGTTAATAAAAATACAGAAGGCCGATGTAAGGCCACCTCGCGTTCTACGATATGTTATGGGGAAAAGGTTCAGGGTTTCAACCCTCATTGTAAGAGATTTTGAAAGTACCTTTCACTAACTTTGTTCTCATACAGTGAACACGCTTGGGTGTGTTAGTATTTTTAGCAACACATAAACAGGCTGCTCGGATACAGTACTCCAGGTGTGCTCTTACATAGGTGGAATATAAAATCCGAAACGTCTCGTCAAAGCATTTGAATGCTCGGTCAAGTGACTAAAACGCTTAAACTCCTTTGATGGCTGTTGCGTTGCAATGTGCAGTTGTTTTTAAGTCGTGACTTACTACTATTATCCCTAACTCTGTTAGTGCATACTTGGAAGCGAAGTACGGTCAGTGGTATACTGGTAATTGTTACTGTGTCCTATGTGCATTATCACACTTCCTAAACTCAGTTTCTGAGCCCCAACTTTGGTACACCTACCTGATTCTTCTAGGTCAGCCTGGAGATCAAGGTTATTAGCCTCACCACTTTTTGTCCTCCAGATTTTGACATCTGCAAACAGTGAAGTCGACAACCTAAGCAGCGGCGGTAGTTCATTAATGTATTGAAGAAAAATAGGGAAGCTAGGATGTTCTCTTGGGGTACCCCACTTTTGACCGGCTTCTATCGAGTGTCCCATTTCCCCTCACTGTCCTGGGCCAGAGAGGAAGTTCTTTATCCATTATTGTATGGCATCTGTTATTCCAAAGTTAGAGAGCTGCATAAGCCCTAAGTGAGAGACCTTATAAAATGCTCTGATAAAATCCATGAATATCACATCGACAAAATGTCATCTTAGACTTGTCCGATCCTCTCTCGTGATAAGTTGGTTAAGCATGAACTCTGTCTGAAACCTGTGTTGCTTAACCGGTCGCATGAGTCCGTGTTACGTAGTAACAGCCCATATTTTTTTCATGTAACTTAACTACTATGGTGGTTAGTCTGACAGGTCGGTACGTAGACACAGTGTCTATTTAAGTGTAGGACTAACTATAAAATCTTTCCAATCCCAAGGTAGTTGAGTTTGGGAAAAAGATATGCTGGAAAGCGTCATGAGTGGTCCTGAGATAATGTCTGCGAGAGATGACAACAACGGTGGAATTAACCCATCAAGACCTAGTGTCTTGTCAGGTCTTAGGCTAATCGAAAAACAGCTTCCACAGTCACATGTATGGGTCCTATAGCTAGTATCTAAGTGATGGGGTTATGACGAGTGTTATTAACGTTACTTGTAGAGTATACCCCTCACGTTGAAATCTCCAACGATGAGACAACAGTCGGCCTTACTTCAAGAACAGATTCGACTTCAGGCAAAGTCGTCAGCAAGATAACATGAACTACGGTACATTCATCTTATAGTCACTAATTCACGTAAATTTAATTGTACAACAAATTACCTCATGTACATCACGTGCCCCTGTGATGTGCTCGATTATACACGAAAATGATCTCCGACATATAATATCATGCCTCCTTCCTTGCGATTTATAACTCTATCACTTTCAATGTAGATGTATCCTGCAATGATTGGAGAACAGTCTACATCTATGATATGCCACATTTCTGTGACAACACTTATATCGGGACTTAATTCATCCACCATCAAACTTAGCTCGAAGGTTTTATTTCTAAGACTACGAGCATTTGTATTGCACATATGATGTTTTGGGAATCACTCGTTTTACCCATACAAGTCTTGAAAGCATTGGCTTTCTAAACGTGACTACCCCGAAACCCTGGATCTTAAGGCTTGTTTCGCCATTTTGCTTTCAGGTTTCTAACTCAGTAAGGGAATTTTTCCACTTGATTCGATCCTCAAGTAACCATTCTGGTGGTATACGAATATTCGAATTACGAGTTTTGTATGTTATTTAGTATAACATTCCTTCCCTCATAACTGCTACCATGACATGGTGGTTGTGCTTGCCTATCGTAATGACTCAGCCGAGCTATATTGGCCAGAACACAGTTCCTTTAGGTTCTACCGTGCCAGGCAGTCGGGTGGAGAACGGTAAGAAGTAGTAAATTAAGACCCATAGCAAATTCGTACTACTTATTGTAGGAGGGATGACAGCAGTAAGGTGTTTTCCTCGGACAACCAGCATCTGCGGCGATGATGACTTTTCACGACGAACGGAAGGGGTTAGAAAAGGTTGACCCAAAAAATGTCACACTTCATTTTACCCCACGGGTTTCCGTTTCCGCCGGTAATGTCTCTTGAAGTGCGGAGCTAATACATCAAAACCCTCCCACAAAAAAGCCGTACACAGCCGGCCCTAAGCAGTTTTCCGTTAGGTTCCTTAGTCACGCTTCTAGGTCGTTAAGACCACCCCGACCGTTGTTGCTACCTTGACGTGGTGGTCGGGCTTGCCTATCCTGGTGAAGCAACTGAGCTATGCTGGCTGGAACAACCGTTCTTCAAGGTCCTGCCATGTCAGACAGGTCGGTTGAAGAGCGGTAAGACTAAAAGCAACAAACCTAATGTCCGAAGGCGAAGTCGTAATGCTGACTGTACAGAGGTGTGACAGCAGTAAGGTGTTTCCTTCAGACAACCAGCATGACAGCGATGCTGCCTTCCCACAAGGAGGGGTGGGGTTAGAAAAGGTCGACCCTAAAAATGCACACCTCACCTTACCTCACGGATTTCCGTCTCCGGCGGTAAGGCCCTTTGAAGAACAGAGCTAACACGTCAAAATCCTCCCACAAAAAGGCTTTGCGCGACCGGCCTCAAGCAGTTGTCCCTTGGGCACTGCGGTCACGCTCTCAGGTCACTAAGATCACCTCTAATCCAATTTCCTTTTCAGGTACCTCCAGAAGAACCCTTCTACGATGTTGCTTGGAAAGACATACAAACAGCTGTGGAAACAGCAGTGACATCCATTAGTGACTTAAACCACAGAGTTACAAAGAACCAGTGGATTTCTTCAAGGTCTATCACACTGATGGATTCTCGCAAACTCGTCCCATCAGGTTCTGAACATGATGAAGAGCGTAAACAAATAAGATCTAGGTTAAGAAAAAGTCTAAGAGACGACCGTGAGCAGTGGTGGGTAACGAAAGCAAAAGAGATGGAAAAGGCGGTGACTATAGGAAACACAAGACAGCTTTACAGACTAATAAAAGAGACTGGAATTAATAAGTCAAGTGTAAGTGAGATTATTTCGAAAAAAGACGATACTCTCATCTGCTCTCAGTCCAGACGTTTAGAACGATGGGCGGAACATTTCAGAGAACAGTTCAACTGACCTTCAGCTACTCTACAACTACCTTCCATTCCCAGACAGTGTGAATGGAACATTGAAGTAGGTCCTCCAACTCTAACAGAAGTTCAAAAGGCTATAGTTAATCTGAAACGAGGAAGGGCAGCTGGTCCAGATGGATTGGCTCCAGAGGTCTTTGAGGATGGTGGTTCAATTTTGGCGATTAGGTTGACTAATATTTTAGCTAAAATCTGGGAATTAGACGTTATTCCATCTGACTGGTCACAATCACTTATCGTCCCAATATATAAGAGAGGGTCAAAATCATCCTGTGACAACCATAGAGGGATTAGTTTAACTAATATAGTATCTAAAATATTGGCCTCGATAATTATCAGACGCTTAACTAAGACTCGTGAACTGCGAACACGAGAGAATCAAGCTGGCTTCAGACCTGGTCGTGGCTGCATCGACCACATATTCACCATTCGTCAGGTTCTAGAACATAGGCATACTTATCGGCGTCCGACAATGGTGGTCTTTCTCGACTTAAAAGCAGCATTTGACTCGGTAGACCGCAAGATTCTGTGGCAGTGTCTGTCATTGAAAGGCGTACCCCAGAAGTACATAAACCTTGTAAAGGCTCTTTACTCGAACACTACTAGTCGAGTCAGAGCTTATGGCGAACTGTCATCTACTTTTGCAACCTCAAGTGGTGTCCGTCAAGGCTGTCCACTTTCTCCATTTTTGTTTAACTTCATCATAGATCTACTAATGGAAATAACTTCCTCGTCGTCTGATTGCAGCCCGGACGAAGTTGAATTTTATGGGGAGCTATCCAACCTCCAAAGAGCTAAACGCTATGATGTACTAATAATGGCAGGTAGTTTTAATGACCAATTAGGTAAACTAGACGAAACCGAAAGGCACTCAGGAAGGTCTTACGGGGTTGCGGCTCAGCGAACAGATAACAGTGACCACTTGTTATTCAGATAACTTCCAAATGCAAGGTTGGGGAGAATCAGCTCTCTCTCTCGAAATGCTCTCACATGGCCACGTGCAGACAACCACTGCCAGGGAAGTCCTAGTCACTGCCTTCTCGCATCACGAGTATTGTTTACGAAATTGAGAGGACAAAAAGCGAATCACTAGCGCTTTAACCGGGTTGGTGGACATGAAGAGTTGAACATGGGGGCATGGGACATGGACATGGGAAGTTGAAAAACCCTGATTCCAAACCAGTGGTACTCATGGGCTCCAGGATCCTGAAGGAACAAGTGACGTATGAACCAATTGTTAGTCTCCGGCTACCATGGGGTTGCATCTCCTGCCGTTGCTCCATTGCCTTATGGATTAGACCTTTAGGTTGAAGGCTTCGGGTGTGGCCCTCTAAGAGAACCACATGCCTCGGTCCGGGCACCTGAGGAGTATCACAGCCCACACAAATAAAATGAAATGACGATAATTACTGAAAATGCTATTCGCACCTCGACTGAAAGTCAGACAATTCGCGTTCATTCTTTTTTCAATTATTACGTCACTTGTCCGCTCTTCTATTCCCACTTTGTGTATCCTTATATTTCAACTTATACAGCAGCTCACTTATGGTGGGAGCTGTTCTGTCTGAACGATCTCGATGCTTCCACCAAATACGAATACCGAAACAGTCCTTCTGAAACCACGTATATTATTCAAACTGACTTTTTTCAACGTTCGCACACTAACGCATATCGGACAACATAGAGAGTTGGCTAGACCTTTAGGGTATTTGGGGGCTGAGGATGCTAGACGACTCTGTTTGATCATCGTTATCTCCGAAGTATTCCCAGCATCCAGTGGCAACAGCATGTTAGTAATGCAGAGGTCCAGAATTGTGTGTTCGGGCACAGCGACGATAATTCAGTTGATGTCACTATCTTGAAACATTGACTTCGGTGGGTTGTACGTGTTCTACGAGTGTCATCCCAGAGAATTCCACGTCGTGCATTATTTGCCGACTCTGGGACTGGTTGGAAACAAATGGTGAGGTGGTCTGAATGAAAACTCTACTGGACTGGCTTCTTTCGGTCCTTCACGACTCTCTGGTTGGGGTCCTAGAGATGTTATCAGATATAGCTCAGAATATAAGCCAATGGCGATCCTGCTGTAATTTTATTCTACTTTCTTCGTTTAATTAAGGACGTATCTTCTTTAAATGGAAGAATTCTCTCATCGGAATCGGTTACTTCAAGCGATGTTTGTCAGGGTTATTCGCTTTCCCCATTTTTATTTAACTGTGTCATAGACATGCTTTTAGGGATAGCACTCATCTCCTGACTTTTCAGGGATTGATCTTCTACCAGGAAATTCACTTGTTGACCTAGGATACACAGATGATATAGTTCTGTTCGGTGAAGTTTGTAAAAGTGCAGTCTTTTGAACATCTTAGGCAATAAATCATGTAGGTTTAGAATGCGATTCACCCCATCCAAAGGTAAAATATTCAGAATCGGCTTGCGTCATTACCTGAATTATTAATAGGGAGTGAAGTAGGTAAACATATCAATCACCTAATTTATCTCAGGAGTCTCATCACTACTGATGGTCTGGTGTCATTGAGACTACAATTTATGGATGAACCAATCAGATATGAGATAACAGCCATTTGATTTCGGCGTGAAATCCATCCATTTGGCTAAATTGCGTTTTGGCATTTTGGCTGATGTCAGTCGGTGATGAAAACCCTAAATCCTTATTCTAACCATCAAATGTAAATCGCAATTCTAATCTCTCACACTGCTTTACAACCGTCATTCAGTAGGTGAACACTCTCAAGGTCACGTTATCGTCTCGCGAAGGTCGTCCATAAATTATAGTCCCACCCTGGTGTCTGACGAAGTCTCAGCACGGATTCAGAAGGCTTAATCGGCTTTTGCCAACCTGCGTCACTTGTGGATTAGACGAGATATCTATCTTCAAACTAGAGCCAGTTTACTGCGGAGCTGTTCACTCCGTTCTACTTCATAAATGTGAAACATGACCATTAAGAGTAGAGGATATTTGTAGGTTAATGGTATTCGATCATAGGTCTCTACAAAACATTGCTCGTGTATGCTGGGAGCAAGGAGTAGGCAATGCCTGCGTTGGGAATAGAGTACTAGGTAAAGATGTGAAATCGATTAATGAGGTAGTAAATCTTCATCGACTGAGGTGGTTGGTATAGGTGTTGCGTATGCCCACCTACCTCAACGGACAGTTATTTTACACAAGAGCAGGCTGAGAAAAGGCTAGGGTCGGCCAAACCAAAACTAGACATCAATCCGTGAAGTTACTGACAATCAGACTTATCCATGTTAATAGGTACAGACTACCTGGTTGGGGTCCGCGTGATTATCGTAATCAATGGTTAGAGACATTGAATGACGGCTCAAAATCCTTTGCACTGACGTAGGTGCATCCATTCCCTGTCTCTCCCCAAATCCATTCTTCACTGTTCGATCCTCTTGTCTCTTTGTTGTCAGACATTCTGTTCACGACTAACGTCATACACCACTTGTGTCAATATAAGTAGCACACACCACACTACTACCTCAACTATTCAGGGATTTCGCCCGACAATTTCATCTCTGTACTAGTGGGGTATGGTAACTTAAACCTATGTACATAAGTACAAGTTCTACGCTGTCTGAGTGTAACTTCTATGTACCTACTTCAAAATCCTTCTTGGTTGTGTCTCGCCTCCAACCTACTTATCACTTCAGTATTATGTACTGCTAAAACCTATTCTGGCAGTACATTTCTGATAGCGGATTCCGCTAACTCCAACTCGTGTGCATGTCTTTTAGCAGGGCCATTTTCTTTTGACTCTTTCAGATTCCAAATGAACTTAACTTCTTTGAAAGTCGATTGATTTTTCGCTTAATGCACTGCATGTTTTAGTATGGCGGTTGTGTTCTATAAGATACTCGTAATTTCCTAAGTAGGCTAATTTTACAGGGCAGTGGAGAAATTATTAGTATCGAGGTATTATATAAGGAGAAGTATTAGTCTCAATGTATATTTCCATTGGATTTTACCTCTCAGATTCTTATCTAATATTTCTTCGTATTCTAATCTTTTACATATCAATAATCTAAAAATGTACGATTTTAAATGTTATTTTTATCCTTCTTTGAGGTCGAAGATGAAATTCAAACACTGCGACAAGTCTTATTATCTAAATTTCGTCGGCAGCAGTTTTTAAAGCGCCAGCTTGGTATAACACCAATTGAAGAACTAAAAAGTGAGGTTAAACAAGGTCTAGATACTTTGCGAACCAGTGATGCGTAAGTCTATTAGTTATTTGCTAGATTTCTCTTAATGTTGTTGCATAGGCTTACCCATGTTCACGTCAAAGTAATATGAGTGTCCTGAAAAAATATAACGCTGTTGATATGATGTGATTATGGTTTACAGAATAGCAAACTAAATAGTTAGAAATATGATATTAATGACTTAAACTATATTTTGAATTCAACACTAGCCTTTAATTTCATTCTTAACATTGAATCACGTTAAAAGACCTGTGGTCAGGGGTCTCTTTACAACAGTTCAGATATATATATTTGAAAAAAAGTGTTGATGATTCTACCTCATTATATGATAGTTGTTATGACAAGAGCAAGACTTGTGAAGTGAATATTGTTGTGATTTGTGGTCGGCTAATATCATGTGATCAGGTAGCCAATCAGAATACGACTCATACAATCTTAGCACTGTGGCACAACAATGACTTATTGACCGATATGAACAGCCTAGTGTCCTTATTAGTCCTTTTTCTGCCTAGCTCTGCCTGTTGAGACCAGAACGCCAACATCAGCCTCCACTGCACGAAGTTCATGAAAAGAGGTCATATTGAATAATTTAATCATAAGTTGTATTTAAGGATTACATATCCTTAACAATTTCACTTATCACTCTAATGATAAATGATTTTAGAAAGAAATAACATTCATTTATTATATGAAATTGTTCTTGTCCTCTGATAACCTTCTAGATATCTTAAAACATCAGCTGTTGTAAAAACTGCTAAGGATAAGACATCAGCTGCATTATTTGAGAAATGGAATTTATTACGGTATGTTTATCAACAGATTTATTTATTGATGTTTATTTCATTTAATATGTATATCAAAATTTTATGTAGACATTCTCATCAGGTGGAAAGAAAATTTTATTATTTATTTTATTTGAATACATAAATATTAGTATAAAGGGGCACCGAATACATTTGCGCCACGTAAGTCACTTGTGTGTGGGCTGTGGTACTGCCCGGGTGCCCGAACGGAAGCAGGTGCTTTTTTAGAGGGCCACACCCGGAGCCTTCAACCTAAAGGTCTGATCCGCAAGGCAGTGGAGCAACGTCAGAAGATGTAGTCCTATGGTAGTCGGTGACCAACAATAGGTTCATACTCCGTTTGTTCTCTCTGGATACTGAAGCCAGCCCTTTTGCACCATTGGTTCAGAATCAGGGTTGTTCAACTCCCCTAGGCGCACCCTCCGTGTCCACCGAAACCCGGTTGAAGCTCCAGATATTCGCTTTCTATCCCCTCAATTTCGCAAACAACAATTATGCCGCGAGTAGGCAGTGAGAACTTCCCTGTGAAAGGAATTTGTAGTAAATTTTTTCACGTTTCTGTACTTTTAATTGGTAGGTGGGTTAGGGCTACATACTTTTTATTATTGCGGAAACCCAAACAGATAGGTGTGAGTTTTCGACTTCATGGATAAGCCACGGCTCGCATTGGTCATTGCATTTTTTCAAGTGTCATTAGGTTTTATAATGTGATCACTAACCTCTAGTGTGCTAGTTATTCACATTGTTATTCTTATGTCGATCCTACCTCCCACGCAAATTAGCTTTCATTTGAAGCCATGTATTAATATAGAGCCACATACTGTACTCATCCAACAGAATGACCAAAATGAAAGTGAACATAACTGAAATTGTATTCGATCTCTTACGATCCATGTTGGAAGATTGTAAAAATTCTACACCTAGCCGTTTTTATTCAGTTCATAGATGGGTATGTGAATTCAGTAGTATACTAAGATGGAAAATCTAAAAAAAACATTCCTTAAAATGGTTTCCTATCTACAATGGCTTGTGTTGATTTGATCAGATCAACTCTGTCTTGTCATTGTCCTATCAAAATATATGAAAGGGGCTAATTGCTTGTGCGATGGCCAACGTTTTGCTACAGTAAGAACTCGTTTTGGAGGACTCATATATTGCTGCTTGTTCCTCATCTTCCATTACTTATTTTTGTGTATTGAGTGAAAGGTGAGTTTTGAAGGAAGCCTTCTGATCTTTAGAAATCTAGGAGTTCATACGTAGTAATTCTAGCAGGTGATTTTGACATCCATGTAAATATCCTAAGTCAAGCTCAAAAACAATTATGTAGGTCTTTTGGTGTCCCAACAAACAGATAATGACGACTGTCACCTGCCATTAATCCTTAGAAAACCGTCTATTTCTAGAAAGTACCAATGATAGGGATAGAGAGAAACACTGTCTAAATTGACCATACTCAGAATCAACACAGCAGTGGACACACAAACCATCTCGCTATCAACTTTCATTAATGTTTTCATTAATGCTTTATCTGGACTAAATGATCTAATGAGAGCATGCAGTTTACGCAGAAACACCTCATGAAGCAAGACTCTTTAGAGGGATTCATTTGAAGATTAAAATGTCAGAAATCCATCCAAAGACGAAGTAGTGAATCAGTTAGTCGATTTTGAAAAGGAAATTCATTCCGACGAAGTTTTAATTGATATCTAAACACCTTTGTGTAAGCCAAAGATATGTTTTAGCAACTTCAGCCAAAAAATAAGGAACGCTTTTAGTTAACTTTTACTTATTTGATAGCTCCTCAAAGACTCACCTTGGCTGTCTCAAAGAGTGAAGAAAGCTTAGGCGTAGACCAACAATCGGCTTATATCATAATCGCTATCTGGAACGCATTCACAGGGAAGCTTTGTCATTTACCAATTCAACCCCAAGGTTTGTGTTCGATGGCGATATACACCACTCCGTTTTAATCGTAGAAGTTGTGACTGCCATCTTTTCGTCCTAGTCAGTCAGTCAGTAACAAGGTAGAACTTCGTACGTACGTACGTCAGTTCGAGTTGCCACATCACATTAGCACAGAGATGCAGTTGTCGATTGAAATCCCGTAGTGGTAGAGGTAGTAAGAGTGTAAGCAGTAATCGGAAAGATTATGGTTTGAAGATGTTATTCAAGGAGTAAAATACGGTGAAATAAATTTGGAAATAGGAAAACGAGAAGGACATGGAAAATTCAGAATATTAGAATTTAGGAGAACACAAATAGTGGATGCACTTGCGCCATTGCAAACGATTATGAGCCATGTCATTCAGGGTCTCTAACCATCGGTTGCTATCATCTCGCGGATCGCAACCAGATAGTCTACACCTACCAACATGACTCAGTCCACTTGTCAGTGACTTCATGGACTTGTGCCATGTTCTGGTCTGGCCACCCCTAGCTTTCTTCTGATCTACTCCTATACCATTGAACATCGCACGTCGAGACAGTCGGTGGTTGGGCATACGTAACACATGTCTCAGCCATATCAACTAATGAAGTTTCACTACTTCATCAATTGATTTGTCATCCTTACTTAGTACTCGTTTTTTAACAACTGTGTTACTTACTCGGTGTTCCCAGGATATACGAGCAATGTTTCGAAGACACCTATGATCAAATACTAGTAACTTAGGAATAACCTCTACTCTTACCAGTTATGTTTCACTGCCACAAAGTAGGACGGAACGAACTGCTGCGCAGTAAACCCGTGCTTTGGTTGATAGACGGATATCTCGCCTACACCATAAATGACGCAAGTTGGCAAAAGCTGATCGAGCCTTCTGTATCCGTGCTGAGATTTCTTCACACACCAGACCACAAGGGCTGATGAGACTTAAGATAAGTGAAGCGGTCGACGCGCTCAATTACTTCACTCCCTATCACTAGTTCGGGTGTCGATGTAACCCAATCCTGAAGCAACATTTTGCATTTCGAGAATGGGGAGAATCGCATCCCGAACATGCTTGCATTGTTGCTTAGAGTGGTCAGAAGACTGCATTTTGTCAGCGTCTTCACCAAATAGGACTATGTTATCGACATATTCTAAGTCAACAAGTAAATCTCCCGGTAGAAGTTCAACCCCTGGAAATTTGGATGAGGAAAGTGTTATCTCTAAAAGTACGTCAATGACAAAGTTGAACAAGAATGGAGAGAGTGGACAGCCCTGACGAACACCACTTGAGGTAATCAATTCTGATGACAGTTCGCCATAAGCTCTCACTCTACCAGTTGTGTTCGAGCAGAGAGCCTTTATAAGGTTAATGTACTTCTTTGGTACTCCTTTCAGTGACAAACACTGCCATAGAACCTCACGATCAACAGAGTTGAATGCCGCCTTAAGGTCGAGAAATACTACCATTGTGTGGCGTCTGGATGTGTGTCTGTGTTCTAGAACCTGACGTCGTGTGAGCATCTGGTCTATACTGTTGAGTCGGCTTCCGGAGAACTTCGACGGAGCCTCCAGAGGCCCAAAAGGAGCCGAAGAGACCTAGCCAATCAGAGCATGATGTAACGTTCTGGAATTCCAACGTGGCGTGCTACTATTGGTCGGTAGCATAATATGTCGTTAACGGATTGGCTGAAATATGATGTTGATTTAACAGACGCCAACATCTATAAATACCTATGATTTTCTGTACAAAAATGAACCTTGGGATAAAGTAATTTTCTCTCATACTTGTGTCTTCTCTCTGGTGTTCAATTCGCTGTGTAGTTCTAGACTGCGGGTTACCGGAATAGCTTAGGAATCGTATATAACGTTTCATCGACAAGACTTATCATATACAACCACATCCAGGTCGAAAACCTGCCTGATTTTCTTTAGTCTTCTCCTCACGAGCTTTAGTTAGGCGTCGAAGTAGTATTGAAGCTAATATTTTAGACACTATATTAGTCAAACTGATTCCTCTGTACATGGGCTCCAGTATCCTGAGGGAACAAATGGCGTATGAACCAATTGTTGGTCACCGGCTTCCATGGGACTGCATCTCCTTACGATGCTCCGCTGCCTTGTGGATCAGACCTTCAGGTCAAAGGCTCGGGGTGTGGACCCCTAAGAAAACCACCTGGTACGGTTTGGGCACCCGGTCAGTATCACAGCCCTCACACGCATCGAATGAGATTTGTGTGGCGCATATTTATTTGGTGCCTCTTTAAACCATTATCTATGTGTTAAAATAAATAAATAAATTCACAAGAGGACTTTTGTCCTTTCTTATAGACTTGCACAGTCTGTGATTGAGACCAGTCAGATGGGATTACGTCCAGTTCCCAAATTTTACCTAAGACTTCGGTTAATCTCATTGCTATTACTGGACCATCATCCTAAAAAATCTCAGGAGTAAACCTGTCAGATCCTGCTGCTCTCCCTCGCTTCAGATTTCTTATGGCTTTTTCAACTTCGTACATATACGGGGGACTGACATTGACTTGCCATTCAGGTTGACTGGAGATCGTGGGAAACCGAAGTGTGGCTGAAGGCCTATTGAACTGATCCCTAAAGTGTTCTGCCCATCAATCCAATCTCCTGGATTGAGAATGAATAATATCTCGATCTTTCTCTGAGATTGTTTCGCTAACAGTCGGGTTCCTGATTCCGGTTTCCTTAACGAGTCTGAACGATTGTCTGCTATTACCTATTGCTGCTGCCTTTTCCATCTGTCTTGCTTTCGCTACCCACCACTGTTCGCGATCATTGCGTAGACTTCTTGTCAGCTGGCGCTTAAGCTGACTCCGCTCTTCATTATGTTCAGAGACAGGTGGAATGAGTTTTCGCGCATCTATCAGTGTGGTAGATGCTGCTGACATCCAGTGTTGCTCCCTAAACCCACGGGTTACCTTACCAGCAGATATCACTGCTGTTTCCACAGCTTTTCGGATATCATTCCATGCTGTCTTGGGGTGGGCATCACATACATGGCTGACTAACTGTTTTCCTAGTTGTTCCTGAAATATACTCTTAGCTTGACTAACATTAAGTAGGGCCCTAAGAGGTTTCCTTGCAGCGTCTTTCCTACGTCCAGTAAGACGCAGACGGGCATGCGCTCGCACTAGAGGATGATCTGAATCTAAGCATGTGCTCCAGAATGAGCGACAGTCTTCTATCGAGCCCCTTCATCGGTGGCTGATAGCGATGTGATCTATTTGGGTCCAACGTTGGGACGAATTAGGGGGTCGCCATGTTAAAAGATGTTTTTCCTTATGCTTAAAGTTAGTATTTGCAAGGAACAGGCGGTTATCTGAGCATAGCTACCTGCAACAGATGGTCGCCATTATCTGTTTGTTGAGCCACGACACCCTAAGATCCACCTAGTTTTCTTTCCCTATCGCTTAGTTTACCTACTTGAGCATTAAAGTGACCAGCCACCATTACTACATCAGAGCGCCTAGCTTTTCGGAGAAGGTCGGAAAGCTTTCTCTAAAACTCGTCTTTTACATCATCTGAGCTGCAGTCAGTGGGAGAATAGGCAGAGACGACGAAGAGGCAACGACGAGTGTCCCTATCTTTCCGGATTCTTACTGTTCCGTTGAGTCGGACAGCGCACAAACGACTGTCTACTGGGATCCAGTCTAAGAGAGCTAGTTCTGCCCTAGGACTCAATGCTATAACTACGCCGGCGAGGCCACGGGAAGCAGAATCAGGGCTTCCAGATACACGAAGCATAAATCGAGTCGGTTCTTTATTTTGACATGGTAAGGTCAAATGAATGACGCTACTCGGATCCTGTATGCGCGTTTCGAAGACGCAGCGCACATCGATGGCGCGAGATTCTAAATTTTTAGCTAAGGAAGCCTGCTGTCCTATTTGGCGAAGTGTTCGTACGTTAAAAGCTCCTACGTGTATTTTAGAGCGTGGTTTCGGGAGACCAGGAATGGCGTTCCACGTACTCGAACTGTTTGCCCTAGCGGTGCGAGGTGATAAAGAGACGTGAGGAGGGTTAGTTGGGGAGATAAGAGAGGTATGAGGTGGTGTAGGAAGGATTTGAATATGACAAACTTGGTTCCGTGTGCTGTTACGGGTATGAGGGCTGGTGTCACTTCCTGGCTGCCCACACCGTGGAAGGGTATTTCTTGAGGAACCGGAAAAGGAAATTGAATTAGTGTTGGTCTTGACGATCTGGGAGCGTGACGGCAGAGCTCAAGGGACAACTGCTTGAGGCCGGTCGCGCACAGCCTTTTCGTGGAAGGTTTTTAATGTGTTAGCTCCGTTCTTCAAAGGGTTTTACCGCCGGAGACGGAAATCTGTGAGGTGTGAGATTTTTAGGGTCGACCTTTTCTAACCCTTTCCTTCCTTGTGAAAGGCAGCATCGCTGCAGATGCTGGTTGTCCGAGGGAAACACCTTACTGCTGTCACATTTCTGTACAGTCAGCAGTACGACTTCGCCCTCAGACCTTGAGTTGCTGCTTTTAGTCTTACCGTTCTCCAATGGACTTGCCTGGCATGGTAGAACCTACAGGAACATATGTTCCAGCCAATATAGCTCTGTTGGGTCATCACGATAGGCAAGCCCGACCACCGCGTCAAGGTAGCAGCTTCGGTCGGGCTTTTCGTCCTAACTTCATCTTCATTGGACTTTTCAGGTGAAAAAGTAACTAGTAGTATATCTAACATTCATGAATGACCGAGACCAGGAGATATTCTTTCTTTATAAGCACGATTAAAAACATCGTGATTCTTCAACGCATGTGGTGCTGCTATCGGTTCTCCCTAGTGTTGAAAAAGTATGTAGTTCTCGTACGATATTTAACAGTTTCCATTCAATTTATTTCATCCCTATAAAAATTGACAAGGCAAAGTTAAACATGTAACTTATGAAATTTTTATCAGAACTAGAATTATGGAAAGCAAGTTTACTTAGTTTAACGGCTACCTTGACGTGGTGGTTATAGTGACTGAAACAGTCGTACTGCTGACTGTACAACAGGTGTGTTAGCAGTAAGGTATTTCCCTCAGAAAACAAGCGTAACGGCAATACTGCCTTCCCAAAAGCTCGACCATAAAAATATACACTGCCTTATCTCACGGATATCCGTCTCCGACGGTAGCGTCTGGACTAGTACGGAGCTAACACAAAAAGGTCGTGTGACCGGCCTCAAGGAGTTGTCACTTAGGCACTGCGGTCATGCTCTCAAGTCGCTAAGATCAACCCTAACCCAATTTCCTGTCCAGGTATCTCTAGAGGAACCTTTCTACTGTGTGGGCAGCCGGGAAGTGATGATCGCCCTTATGCCTCTAACAGCACTCAAGACCAGTGTGTTCATAATCACTTTCATTCTCCGATTCCTATTATTTCTCCTACCTTGACTATCGACTCTAAAATTCCTCCTTCGAGTTCCTCCTCAAGTGTCACCGTGGCCAATGACTTTTGTGCGCGAAATACTCTCCCAAGTCTACTGAAACCTCTCTAAACTACTCTTTGGAGCCTTCAACGTACGTATGTCAAATCGGCCAGCAGGCCTCCTTAGCTGAAACCCCAGAATCTCGTACGATTAGCATATCCTGTGTCTTCAAAGCACGCATACAAGATCCTAGTGTGGTCATTCACTTAACCTCACTTCGCCAAAATGAGGAGCTGACGAGATATACCCTCAGTTTATCTGGCGACCTCATGACAAGTTCTTGTGGACTGGCGGGTGTGGACATAGCACTAAGTACGAGGGCAGAACAAGCACTTTTAAGATGGACCCCGTGGTAACAGTTGCGTATGTGTTGTTCGGCTGAACAGTCCAGTGAAGGTTACTTACTTAAACACTATCAGTTGAGTCAGAGCTTATGGCGAACTGTCATCTGATTTTTCAACCTCAAGTGATGTGCATCAAAGCTACCCACTATCTCCATTTCCGATCAATTTCATCATAAGCCTACTGTTGGAAATAACGTTCTCGTCGTCTGAATTTTCGGGAATCGATCTCCTAGCAAGTGGTCCACTTATTGACTTGGAATACACAGATGACGTAGTCCTGTTAAACGAAAACTCTGATAAGATGCAGAGTCTTTTGGTAGCACTGAGCAACGATGCCAGAATATTTGGAATGCGCTTCTCTCCCTCTAAATGCAAGTTGTTGCTCCAGAACTGGCCTACGTCAACACCTGAACTAAGGATAGGGAGTGAAGTAGTCGAACGCGTCAACAACTTCACTTGGAAGTCTGATCAACCCAAATGGGTTGGTTTTTGACAAAGTATCTGCATGGCTTTTGCTAACTTTTGTCTCCTGTGGTGAAGGCGAGATATCCGTCTATCAATTAAAGGACGAATGTACTGTACGGCAGTCATATATGTGCCTGGTCCTACGTTGTAGTTGACTAACTGAATCACTAACTTTCATCTATGTGCACTTGTCTTATATATGTGTCTGTGTTTTTTTACCTACTTAGACTATATAAAATCACTTAACGATTCACAGACTTACTGATTTTACAATTGATCCAAATAGCACGATCTTAACCGGGACGTCAGGTCCATGCACCATACATTACATACGATTTTCACTGTTTACAAAAGGCTGTACGACTTATAGTCTGCTAATTACTTCTGCATAAAATATAACATTCCTGAAAAATTTTGCACTAGACTTTTTTTACGTTTAAAACAACCTCGTTATTATTTGGATTGTTTTTAACGATATATACAAAATTTAACTACAATTTAAGTATAACTGGCGTTAAGTGCATTCACAAAATGATCTTACTTAACCTTTATAGATTAAGAATTCTTCAAGTAACTCTTTGTCAGATAACTTCTTGTATATTTCAAAGCTGCATCTGTCGATCATTATTTTGAGATATTTTTATAGATAGAAATGAATAAACACGTTGACAATAAATAACCCAGGCTGTTCGTGAGTAAGTAGATGACCAACAGGCAGGATTCCGTAAGGATAGATCGTGTACAGACCAAATCGCAACTCTACGGATAATTGTGGAACAATCAATTGAATGGAATTCATCACTCTACATCAACTTCATTGACTACGAAAAGGCATTTGATAGCGTGGACAGAACAACACTATGGAAACTTCCTCGACACTACGGCGTGCCTCAGAAGATAGTCAATATCATACAGAGCTCATATGATGGATTACACTGCAAAATTGTGCGTGGAGGACAGTTGACAAAGTCGTTCGAAGTGAAGACCGGTGTTAGGCAAGGTTGCTTACTCTCACCCTTTCTCTTTCTCCTGGTGATCGACTGGATCATGAGGACGTCAACGTCTGAAGGGAAGTGCGGGATACAGTGGACATCCAAGATGCAGTTGGACGATCTAGACTTCGCAGATGATCTGGTCATTCTATCGCAATCGCGACAACAAATGCAGGAGAAGACGAACAGTGTGTCAGCAGCCTCAGCAACAGTAGGTCTCAATATACACAAAGGGAAAAACAGGATTCTCCAATACAACACAACATGCACCAGTCCAATCACAATTGACGGAGAAGATTTGGAAGATGTTGAAACTTTTACATATTTGGGCAGCATCATTGATGAACAGGGTGGATCTGATGCAGATGTGAAGGCGCAGATCGGCAGAACAAGAGCAGCATATTTACAACTGAGGAACATCTGGAACTCAAAGCAACGGTCAACCAACACCAAGGTCAGGATTTTCAATACAAATGTCAAGACAGTTCTACTGTATGGAACGGAAACTTGGAGAACTACGAAAGCAATCATCCAGAAGATACAGGTGTTTATTAGCAGTTGTCCATGCAAAATACTTCGAATCAGTTGACCGTACACTATTAGCAATAACCAACTGTGGGAAAAAACAAACCAGATCCCAGAAGAGGAAGAAATCTGGAAGAAGTGTTGGAAGTGGATAGGACACGCATTGTGGAAAGCACCCAACTGCGTCACAAGACGCCCTCACATGGAATCCTCAAGGGCAAAGGAAAAGAGGAAGACCAAAGAACACATTACGCTGGGAAACGGAGATAGACATGAGAAAAAATGAACAAGAATTGGATGGAACTAGAAAAGAAGGCCCAGGATGGAGTGGGTTGGAGAATGCTGGTCTGCGGCCTATGCTCTATTAGGAGTAACAGGCGTAAGTAAGTTCGTGAGTTTATAAGTTAGAAATACGTAAATATGTCATACCCCCCAACAATTATACTCAAATTTAGCTTCTGTGAGTAACGATATTCTTCAACATTAATTAGCCTACTAAAAAAACACAACCAAATCAATGTATAGATAATGATTTTAAAGGTTATACAAATTAATAGGCCATAGTGTGTAGAAAGTTGATATATTTTCATCCGTAAACTGATAGGTTAATGTAATTGAATGAAAAACCAATTTGATTGTCCTAAGATAAATGTGTTTTAGTTTAATAGTTTCTTTGATACATTTTAGACAAACTAATACATACAAATCCTTGGAGAATAAAGTGGGTTCAGCGTGTCTCAATGTTTACGTAAGTGTTTAATTATACCTAATAAGATTATATAATCCTCAAAACGTATTTTTAATCTTCTGATTCTGGTTTTATAACATGATTAATCAAAATAAAACATCAACTTTGAATTACTGTAGTTTTAGAGATAAGAAAATTTTCACTTTGTCTAAGACTTGACATCTGTTGGCAAATGTTTTATTGCTGGTCTGATAGCTTTTAAATCACTTACAAAATCCCTATTGATTAGTCAAAAAGAAAACAAAGCAAAAAATTTTTTGGGCGAATTGTTTCCAATAACCTCGACAACAGTCTCTGCAGTTATAAATCCGTAACTGTTGTTATTTTATTAAGGCCAAAATAAAGCATGCTAGTGAATTTTAAAAAAAGTGATGAATCTTTACCTCTGTTACAGCATAAATACCTTGAAATTGTATTATTTGTAAACTTAAAAAAATCAAAAGGCTTCGTTGTTAGGTGTCAAGTTATAATCAATATGATAATGATAAAGCAAATTATGTCAATAAAATGCATAGTGAGCAAATTTCCCCTCGTTAATAAATATAATGACGTCGTGTGAATATGATAGGTAATAAGTAAGATGCTGTCAAAGTGATTATGATAAGAATTCATGTGAATTGCGAAAGATCAATGTGTAGATTATGAAAGATAGGAACACACAAAAAATTGGGTGTGGGTAAGGGATTTACAATATCCAGTTCAGGTACCTAGTGGTCTAGTCGTAGATCCAGATAAGCACAAAAGTTTAATATACCTCTTCTGGATGCATAGGGTAGACTTTCTGGAGTTGATCCCAGATAGGTCCAGTTATGTAGAAGAGTCTTAATCTATCTAGCTCCTTGAAGTTGTGGACCGCTTTGTGATGTAATTTCTTCTGTCCTTCTGTAGAAATTTTCTAGTTTCTATTGTGTACATACATGTTTATTTCAATGTTCAGACAACTTGAAGGATGTCTTCATTGGGTAACCAAGTAATTGTTTGGTTATCCACTCAGGCAATTGCAAACTGTGCTGTATCTATTAACTATGAGCGTTACAGCTTTCTGTCTTCACTTATAGTCAACTACATAACTCATCTGTCTATAAATCCAGTTTACTTGGAGTTGATAAAAATTAATATTTTTTCTCCTCAACAGATCGAAATTTTTTATAGGAAGTAAAAGGGCATATGTTAAATTTCCCAATCAGCTCTACTGTGTTACCATTTTTGCCAACATTTTTATGAACCTATAATAACAGAAAGACTGGATTGAGCAGTCATTTATATTTTCTAAGAATTCCACGGTATTGTAAGACTATAGTTGGAGTAGTTCATTCTTTAAAAAGAAGTCTATTTACATTGTATTTTTTCCGACCTTCAGATTTGGATGTAATTTAAAGAATAAGTGGATATTGTTCTGAATTTTCAAACGTAATAGTTATGCAATGCTATTCGTTATCCATTTTTCCTTGTTATTTATCTAGATGTCTATATCATTCTAGGATATGTATATCAGTATTGCTCCTTATTAGTAAGCTCTATTGAAGATGATAGTTATTTTGGGAATAATTTAGTGTTTAGTTTAGGAAATCTATCCCTTTTGTTCACACATTATCATTTGCTTGTTCCCAATCATTTATGTTGCATACAATTATCATTTTGTCAAATGGAATTCTGAAATCAACATCATATTGCAATATAGACTATTCAAATTACATAATTTATCTTCTACTTACGTATTAAAATGTTTGTTTGTTTGTTTTTCAAAAAAATTCTTCATTCGCACACTCATCTGTTAACATGTGTATATTCTGTTCTATTTACTACTATTGTATTATGCATCTTCAGTAAATGACACTGTATTATTAAGCTTATTATCTAAATATCGATCCATATATTATTAACTTATTCGACATTGTTCGATAAATTGATTTGAATTCTATTAAACTATTTTTCACTGTCATTCTAATATTTTGTTTCTTGTTTTCTTTCTTTGTTGAAACAACCCACAAAAATAGTTTGGATCTTTATTTTGTCTCATATTCATTCCATTTGACTTTCGAGTGTTTTAACACTTCATATTGTAGTGAATGAGAACACAAATGGGAACGATCGAATGTATTTGAATACAAAATTATAGAACATTCTAGTACAATCTGAGAACCATATAGTAAATACTTTATTTGCAAAATGTCAATCAATCGTCTCAGACTTCACTCTTCTTTCACCTCCACATCATTCTCGGTTCTCGTTCTCTCACATTCGATCTCCTTAACCTTATGATGCCAGGCTTGTCACTTCCGATTGATGATGCATACTACTTATATCTGTCGACATCATTATCACATACCACAAAACTAATAGGCAACTATTCATTAGCCCGTCTAGTGTTCAAAATTAATCAAGTTTACCTTACTTTTTATTTATATTTTCATTCAATTAGTTTGTTATGCTGTTGTTTGTTGAATTATATATATTGACAGAAGGAAAGCATATCTAACCTCCCTTTCTGTTTGCACAGTTTGATTCCTTAAAGCAGTGACCACATGTATTATGACCTAAGTATTTTTCTCTACCCATTAACTTCTGTCCATGCAATCTTGATTATGTAATCAATTACAGTTATTTGCATCATTAATTGTAGTCTCATCTCTCTTTGTACAGCTAAATGTTCTTTATGTCATATCAGTTTCCACTACAATGTATTTTTGTGTGTGATTTTTCTGTCCGTTTACGAAAACATCCACTTCGTTGTAAATTTCAACTGTTTACGATTGATGGGAAACCTTGAAATGAGTTATTTATAAGATGGAAACTGGTTAATTTCTTTTAAATGTACCCAGATTATCGTTTAAAACGATAACCGGTATGTATATATTTCACTTTTTAGGGCAAATTGACGCGTTCTAAAACATTATCAAGTGGTACTGAACAAATCAGTAATTCTGAAGTAAGTCATATTTTAATATCTCACATCATCATACTGTTGTCTATCAATCATTCAACTTAGTTATGTAATCTAATGCTTGGAGATTTCATTATTGTTATTAATTCATTCCAGTGCTAATATACGAGAACTATGTGTGTTCTCAGTTGTTTTGAAAGTATTCATCTTTCATATCAAATGTAATTACTGTGATATTTCTACATTTCCGGTGATGTTATTATTTTATGATTTGAGTTTTGTCATTATAAAGCAAACTAGTCCATAAAAGCCACCCTTGAAAGTTCACTTTTGTATGGTCAATTGTAGTCTAATATTATTTGTAGTTATGTTATCTCTTTTTTTTAAAGTCAGTTATTCATCCGAGTACATATGAGCTAAGAAATATTACGTTTGTGCTGAATATATTTTAATCTACAATATGTTCATCTCCTTACACTTGCCTTCAATCACATATTATCAACACTTATTCACAACATCCTTTAATTTTATCATTACTCTCTCTTGACCTATATCCTATAAAGCATAATATGTATTAAACTATTTTCGATCCATATAATATTATATTGATTTTCTATTCTATATTATATTTGCCATCATTTTACCTATCACCTTACAGTAATTTGTCTTAGCCTTTATATTATATGGTCATTTGAATACTTCTTAAGTAGTTAAATTATAACTGAAAGGAAATTCACTGTTTTCAATGTATAACACTAAATATTCCATTTAAATGAAGTAATCGGGAAACACTTGTTCTTCTGTTTGATTACATACTTTCTTACTGGATATGTTCACTTTCTTCGAGTTTAGTCAATCAGTAACATGGTAGAACTTCGTACGTACGTACATCAGTTCGAGTTGCCACACCACATTAGCACAGAGATGCAGTTGTCGATTGAAATCCCGTAGTGGTAGAGGTAGTAAGAGTGTAAGCAGTAATCGGAAAGATTATGGTTTGAAGATGTTATTCAAGGAGTGTAATACAGTGAAATAAATTTGGAAATAGGAAAAAGAAAAGGACATGGAAAATTCAGAATATTAGAATTTAGGAGAACACAAATAGTGGATGCACTTGCGCCATTGCAAACGATTATGAGCCATGTCATTCAGGGTCTCTAACCATCGGTTGCTATCATCTCGCGGATCGCAACCAGATAGTCTACACCTACCAACATGACTCAGTCCACTTGTCAGTGACTTCATGGACTTGTGCCATGTTCTGGTCTGGCCACCCCTAGCTTTCTTCTGATCTACTCCTATACCATTGAACATCGCACGTCGAGACAGTCGGTGGTTGGGCATACGTAACAACCACCGACTTCGAATTTAACTTAGATCTTGACCATAAGTTAATGAGTAATCTGACTTCCTTGACACAACTCAACAAAAAGATTTCACATTAAAGTTTTATTTGTTTCATTCTGGAGTTTATAGTTCTCGAGAGTTTTTTTTCTTCTGAAGCAATTCACTACAAAGAAATATGAATGACTGTGTATATATTGATTAATGGATTGAAATGTACAAGGACAAATAATTATGATAAATTTAACCATTTGGTTTTAAACGTGTCATAGGTCTTAACGTAGTGTTTTGGTAGTTTATTGAACCCTTTTTCATAATACAAGATGTTCACACTGTGTTAGGTAATTGAAAGAATTCAGTGGGGAACTCTACACCTATGTTCGTGCTAGTTGACACCTGGGAATTTGGGAGAATGAGTGCTACTTTTGGAGTTCAAACCCACGTTACAATTCAGCTATCAGATCCACTATTGATTTCCTATATGATTAGAGCTTTTAAATTGTTTAGTCACTATTTAGTAACCAACTTATAGCTTCATCAATAGAATTCTGTCATCATTGTGGGTTAGACAAACATAACAGTTGGTTTTCAATGATCAGTTAATGTAAACTCATAGCATACCTTTTTTGAAAAGAAGGTATTCGTATACTTTTGTAATCATCGTATGAATTGTTCATTAATTAATTTTTGCTTAACTTTATATACTCATTTTCTTGTATAAACAGAACACTACTAATACTACTTTTGCAACAGCAGAAATCACAACGAAATCGTGTAATTTAAGGACAAATAATAATAATTCAGTTCCTCAATCAGTATCAGTTATATCATCATTATCAACGTCGTCTTCGTTCAATCCCAATGATTCGAATGGTAATAATTACGATGAGAATAATATCGAAATAAATGAAAATGATTCTATACATTTTGATCAATTACTCAACGACGATATATTATTACATTCAAATAGAATAGATAATAAGAAATAATTATAAAGACCATAAATCTTAACTATTTCACAATATCCATTATATATTCAGTTTTGTATTGCTATGTTATTCAACTTAATTTTGTGATAAATGTACATCTTGTTTTTAGGATTAATACAACATATCAATTTTTCTTTTTTTTCGGGGGGGGGGGAGTATTTGTAACGCTAACTGTGATCCCGTTATCGTTTTTCTTCATTCAGTTCTACATACACTAAATTGTTTTTTTTTTATTATCTAAATAGTTTATCTGTATTAATAACGTTTTTGTGTTTATCATATTTATAAATATCAATCATCTTATATTCTTGACATTTTGTGGTATTTGTGCTCTTCTGTTGTCTTATACCAATTAAAAACCAAAGTTATAGGACAGTGGATATTATCATCGACCCATAGTCTCTTTCTCACAATAAGCGTTACCATACTTCTAATGTAAATACGCGTTTTTTTTCGGAGTTTTTTACTGCTCAGTGAATTTTAAGAATTTTTCCGGCTTCTATGACAACTTTTATTGCCATGTTGTGTTTGTGAATCTTTATAGACTGAAGTGGCTAAGGCATGTGTTACGTATATTTACTTACCCTTTACCTCGACGGGTAATGTTTACTTGTATGGAAGTACGTTGAAAATAAGCAAGGTTATCAGTCCATAAAGTCATTGGCTGTTTTTCTGAATCATGTTAATAAATGCAGATTACTTGGTTCTGATCTTCGCAATAACTGCAGTCAGTGGCTGTAGAGTTAACGTGACATTGATTAGTATGTCGTTTTCACGATTCACCATTCATGTATGTCCTTACACTCTGTCTTTTCGGACTCTGTTCTTAATGCTTAGTCTTGTGTTATCACTGGCACTACATTATTCCAACCATTCTTACTATACATTATGTAAATTATTCGTGCTGATGTAGTATTTCAACTTGCGCCAGTGCTCTATACTGATGTCAGTCAGTAACGACGTAGAAATTCGTACGTCGGTTCGAGGTGCTTTACCACATTAGCACAGAGATGAAGTTGTCCATTCAAATCCCGTAGTGGTAAAGACAGTAAAAGCATAAGCAGTAATCAGAAAAATTAGGGTTTGAAGATGTTATTCAAGGAGTAAAATACGGTGAAATAAATTTGGAAATAGGAAAACGAGAAGGACATGGAAAATTCAGAATATTAGAATTTAGGAGAACACAAATAGTGGATGCACTTGCGCCATTGCAAACGATTATGAGCCATGTCATTCAGGGTCTCTAACCATCGGTTGCTATCATCTCGCGGATCGCAACCAGATAGTCTACACCTACCAACATGACTCAGTCCACTTGTCAGTGACTTCATGGACTTGTGCCATGTTCTGGTCTGGCCGCCCTTAGCTTTCTTCTGATCTACTCCTATACCATTGAACATCGCACGTCGAGACAGTCGGTGGTTGGGCATACGTAACACATGTCTCAGCCATATCAACTAATGAAGTTTCACTACTTCATCAATTGATTTGTCATCCTTACTTAGTACTCGTTTTTTAACAACTGTGTTACTTACTCGGTGTTCCCAGGATATACGAGCAATGTTTCGAAGACACCTATGATCAAATACTAGTAACTTAGGAATAACCTCTACTCTTACCAGTTATGTTTCACTGCCACAAAGTAGGACGGAACGAACTGCTGCGCAGTAAACCCGTGCTTTGGTTGATAGACGGATATCTCGCCTACACCATAAATGACGCAAGTTGGCAAAAGCTGATCGAGCCTTCTGTATCCGTGCTGAGATTTCTTCACACACCAGACCACAAGGGCTGATGAGACTTAAGATAAGTGAAGCGGTCGACGCGCTCAATTACTTCACTCCCTATCACTAGTTCGGGTGTCGATGTAACCCAATCCTGAAGCAACATTTTGCATTTCGAGAATGGGGAGAATCGCATCCCGAACATGCTTGCATTGTTGCTTAGAGTGGTCAGAAGACTGCATTTTGTCAGCGTCTTCACCAAATAGGACTATGTTATCGACATATTCTAAGTCAACAAGTAAATCTCCCGGTAGAAGTTCAACCCCTGGAAATTTGGATGAGGAAAGTGTTATCTCTAAAAGTACGTCAATGACAAAGTTGAACAAGAATGGAGAGAGTGGACAGCCCTGACGAACACCACTTGAGGTAATCAATTCTGATGACAGTTCGCCATAAGCTCTCACTCGACCAGTTGTGTTCGAGTAGAGAGCCTTTATAAGGTTAATGTACTTCTTTGGTACTCCTTTCAGTGACAAACACTGCCATAGAACCTCACGATCAACAGAGTTGAATGCCGCCTTAAGGTCGAGAAATACTACCATTGTGTGGCGTCTGAATGTGTGTCTGTGTTCTAGAACCTGACGTCGTGTGAGCATCTGATCTATACAACCACGTCTAGGTCGAAAACCTGCCTTATTCTCTTTGGTCTGCTCCTCACGACCTTTGGTTAGGCGTCGAAGTAGTATTGAAGCTGATATTTTAAAAACTATGTTAGTCGATGAGTTTTCGCGCATCTATCAGTGTGGTAGATGCTGCTGACATCCAGTGTTGCTCCCTAAACCCACGGGTTACCTTACTAGCATATATCACTGCTGTTTCCACAGCTTTTCGGATATCATTCCATGCTGTCTTGGGGTGGGCATCACATACATGGCTGCCTAACTGTTTTCCTAGTTGTCCCTGAAATATACTCTTAGCTTGACTAACATTAAGTAGGGCCCTAAGAGGTTTCCTTGCAGCGTCTTTCCTACGTCCAGAAAGACGCAGACGGGCATGCGCTCGCACTAGAGGATGATCTGAATCTAAGCATGTGCTCCAGAATGAGCGACAGTCTTCTATCGAGCCCCTTCATCGGTGGCTGATAGCGATGTGATCTATTTGGGTCCAACGTTGGGACGAATTAGGGGGTCGCCATGTTAAAAGATGTTTTTCCTTATGCTTAAAGTTAGTATTTGCAAGGAACAGGCGGTTATCTGAGCATAGCTACCTGCAACAGATGGTCGCCATTATCTGTTTGTTGAGCCACGACACCCTAAGATCCACCTAGTTTTCTTTCCCTATCGCTTAGTTTACCTACTTGAGCATTAAAGTGACCAGCCACCATTACTACATCAGAGCGCCTAGCTTTTCGGAGAAGGTCGGAAAGCTTTCTCTAAAACTCGTCTTTTACATCATCTGAGCTGCAGTCAGTGGGAGAATAGGCAGAGACGACGAAGAGGCAACGACGAGTGTCCCTATCTTTCCGGATTCTTACTGTTCCGTTGAGTCGGACAGCGCACAAACGACTGTCTACTGGGATCCAGTCTAAGAGAGCTAGTTCTGCCCTAGGACTCAATGCTATAACTACGCCGGCGAGGCCACGGGAAGCAGAATCAGGGCTTCCAGATACACGAAGCATAAATCGAGTCGGTTCTTTATTTTGACATGGTAAGGTCAAATGAATGACGCTACTCGGATCCTGTATGCACGTTTCGAAGACGCAGCACACATCGATGGCGCGAGATTCTAAATTTTTAGCTAAGGAAGCCTGCTGTCTTATTTGGCGAAGTGTTCGTACGTTAAAAGCTCCTACGTGTGGTTTAGAGCGTGGTTTCAGTAGAACAGGAATAGAGTTCCGCGTACTCGAACTGTTTGCACTAGCGGTGTGAGGTGATAAAGAGACGTGAGAAGGGTTATTCATGGAGGTAAGAGAGGTATGAGGAGGTGTAGGAAGGATATGAATGTCACCAACTTGGTCTCGTGTGTTGTAACGGGTATGAGGGCTGATGTCACTTCCCGGCTGGCCACACCCTGGGAGGGTTTTCTTGGGGAACCTGAAAAGGAAATCGGCTTAAGGTTGGTCTTTATTACCTGGGAGCGTGACCACAGAGCCCAGAGAGCAACTGCTTGAGACCGGTCACTCACGGCTTTTTTGTGGGACCTTTTTGACCCTTTCCTTCCTTTTGAAAGGCAGCATCCCTGCAGATGCTGGTTGTCTAAGTGAAACACCTTACAGCGTCACTTTTCACTGCACTAGCAAGCAACTTCGCGTGAATACAGCGACTTATTCACAAGTCCTATGTTTGGAATTAAATGGATGTGCGTATGCTGCAACTGAAGTAACTACGAAGGGGGCAGGTGACTGAGATACCTAAACCTACCCCACAGTGATCTGACATTGATGTGGCTAGAGTTATCGGATTCACTATTGTGGTTGAATACCAGCAAGGGGAAGGTGCAGTTTGTATCTTTGAAAGTGTTTAAATGGCTTAATACCGTAGTGAAAAGGTGAATACTTCCGGTTATTGGTGAGAGGTCACGTCAGGCTCGAAGAGCATGTGTTAGTGATCTCGAGCTCGCCTTTAGATCACGTCCCAGTATTATACTCCGAACATACCTAGTTTGCAGTTGACACACGGATAAGCGAAATTTACTGCCTTTAAAAACAACAAAAGGCTCAAGTTCACCAGCACTAAATACTAAGGAATTCGGTTCTAAGTTGACTCCGCTGACAAAACTCTCCAAACGAATCGATTTTGATTCTCACAAAGACATTTTATAATATGCTTCAAGTAATTTATTTGATTTTCATTTGACTTGTGACTTTCAGCCCTCGGGAAATGATAGGATTGTTCACCACGCAGTCTTGATCTTCTTGTTACATGGCTACTTCTCAGGGGACAAGAACACAGGCTAGTCGACCAGTCATTCTCAACGTAGAACTTATTACATGTGCACATAGGTTAGAGTTGCTATAGTCTACTAGCAGATTGAGATGAGGTTGTTAAGATGAATCACAGAGTAGTTGAAGTAGTCATGGTGTGGGTGTGGTGCGTGCTACTTATATTGACATAGGTAGTATGTAACGCGAGTCAGGAGTGTAATGTCTGGCAGCAGAAGATTGGGAAGATCAAGAAAGAGTGAACGGGAATGGAAAGCTGTAACAGCCTAGGTTGGTTGGTTAAGAGTTGACCCCAAACAACCAAGCATATGCCAAAACAGTACTGTTAAAGTATTTATTCACTTCCTTGTTTTGTATAAGCGTTATATTCCGTATTATCTTAAGTTATTCGTGTTATAGTAACCACTTTTTGTGCTAACTTTATTGTTATATTTGTCACATACCTCATGTCAGACTCAATAGAAACCCATAATCTGGAGGATTTGTCACCAGTGGAGATAGACACTGTTATGACTACGAAATCCCGACTTCCAGAATTTGATCGTAGTGATCCTGAGTTGTGGTTTGCCCAACTAGAGCATTATTTCACGAGACACAATATCAAATCTGAAGGGATTCGCTATAGAGACTTGTGTTCTATCCTTCCTCCTTCAGTCGCCAAAGAAGTCCGTGACTTGATTTTGAGTCCACCATCACCACAACCATACACCATCTTAAGACGAGAGATAATGAACCGTTTATCATTATCAGATAGTCAAAGAATCCAAAGACTTTTTCAAGGTGAAACACTAGGTGATCGGTCGCCGTCACAGTTTTTACGTCACCTCCAAGTCCTAGTGGGTGATAACACAGTGGGTGAAGCAGTCCTAAAACAAGGATGGATACAAGCTCTCCCATGCTACGTCCAACACTGTTTGGATGCACAGGATCTTGAAACCTCATTATCTCATTTAGCGCGTGTAGCCGACAGAATAATGGAAAGAGGTCCTCCAACTGGATCAGGCATAATAAATCACACACAAAAAGTAGAATCAGCAAAAGACCCCGTAATAGAAGGACTCATTGCGAGTGTTAAGAGTCTCACTGAGGCCGTCACCAGAATGCAAATGGGTCATAGAAACAGGAGCAGGTCACCACAACGACCACGATCCAAGTCACAAAACAGGTCACAAATGTCCAGACAATCTGGGCAGTTTTGTTGGTACCACTGGAAGTTTGGTGTCAACTCAACCAAGTGCATGCAACCATGCGCCTG